AAGAGAATGAAAGTACAATACAGCCCTAAACTAAAATTAACCTAAACCAGGATTAAACTAAGATTTTCAGCTGCCTCTGATCTCCAATTTTTCAACTGTTTAAGTCCTTATTTGGAGATATCTGGAATTTGGTTATATGATCTGTTAGTCTTTTTTGACCCTGTTATCAGTGAAATACAATTTGGTTTTGCGAACGTAAAATATGACCAGGATCTCAATACTGGCTCCTGAAAATGCTTGATAAACATAACCGAGTGAGCCAGAAGTGATCCTTGCATTCGGTTCTGTTGTAGTCCATAAAGCACAGGAGAGTCCCAGACATGACCAACTCCAAAGCACATTACATTACAGCAAGAAGACATGACAAGTTATTCCCTCCAGAGGTGTATAGCTAATACTAGTGTTGTGGCAGTGGGCAAAGTAAATGATACCCTGAATACAAGAATAAGCTTGCAGAACAAGACCATACACAGTAATACTAGGTGATATAGGCTGTATAGAGGATTCCAATACCTACAGAGCTGATAGGCACCAGACATTGTGCTATGACTGTTGTAAGAATGGGCATTCTAATTAGTATACAATAGATCCTACATCACTTGTGAGTACATGTATATTGCCACAATGTAGATTTTAGTTGAATGAAATGGGGTGATCTATTACTCTCATAAGTGTGTGAGGGTGAGTGAGTGAGAAAGGCTTTTAGGAACATTTCATCCTGTCCGTGAGGACCTGAAATGCACTTCACACATTGTACCCACATGGGGAATCAAATCTGGGTCTTCAGCATGAACAGAGAACACTTTAACCACTAGGCTATCCCAATGCCCGATTGAGTTTCTAAATTATGACTGTGCTTGAAGAATCTATTGATGATAAGGCATTTTTTCCTGACTGCTATTTTAAGTGATCTGTCAAAATATTTTAGTCAGGTGAAACAAAATGTTTACAGTATAACTTAGAACTGGTTTCTTCTCTATTGTTTTAACTATACTGGAAATATTTTAGCAAAAATAGTTTGCTATCTTCAAATCTTTACTAAATCGAATACTGAAACACAAATGTGTTCATATGTATGTTATGCTCATAAAATGATTAAGCTGATTAGGCTTCGAGGAAATCAATGACACTGATTCCAATAAATACATCATCAAAGACTAAAATTGGTTACAGTCAACTTTAAACTCCTAACAGTGGACAGTGTGCTTAAATTAGCACCTCATCTGTGGACCATCATGACATGAACACTGAGAGTATTCACTACGATTTCATCTATGATTGTAAGTACTGCAACAATATATTTTGTAACAACACAATCCATTACCTTATGATAAGGTCATCATATGATACATGGTAAAATAATTAATTACATTACCATTGTCAGGTAAATGAGAAATATTCCATTATCATGGGGAATATGGACACTTGTTTAACACATGTCAGCTTTATTTCAACTAGAACACAAAAGCTTGGACCAGAAAACCTGTGAAGATCTGGGTTAGAATTGATCTTCAGTAACCCATGCTTGTCGTAAGAGGCGACTAATGGTATCAGGTGGTCAGAATCGCTGACTGGGTTGACACGTCATCGTGTCCCAAATACCTAGATCAATGTTCATGCTGTTGATCCCTGGATTGTCTGGTCCAGATCCGATTATTTACAGACCGACCGTCATATAGCTGGAATATTGCTGAGTGCGGTGTAAAACTAAACTCACTCACTCACTGGACCAGACAAACCTGTGACTGATGTCATGAACAACGATCCATGCCTTGTGACATGATGTCATGCAGTTACCGAGTCTGATTTCTACATTGCGTAACACCCCATCCTGCAATATTCCAGCTAGCAGCCTGTAAGTAATTGGGTCTAGATCAGAAAACTGAGCCTAGTAATTGATATTGTGAACAATGACACACAATCAACAAAGTGGCCAAGCTGGCCCATTCGATTCTCTACAGTCAGTTGTTTTCACATGTACATCATACTGGTGACTTTTTCTACACTGGAATACGACAAAGATGTATTACTAGTACATGTGTCAACACTGATACAAACCTTCAACAGTACGTGATATGATCAAAATGGGTCAGAGGTATGAAAATATGTTCTTTGGTTTTTATCAATGATAAAACATACAAAATTCATCATGGTAAGAATAATTTAAGACAGATAATAATTCTAGCATACAGTATTACTTGTCACTGTATTCACTCCCTGTAAAAAGCGTTACTATGGTTACATATAGCAACCTAGTCTCTCGACTTCAACCAAAAGGAGAATGCCTTTGTTTAACCCTATTTGGACTAAAAAATGAAGCGCAGTTGGACAGTTGAAGAAAACATAGCAGTGTTAATGACAATATATTGCAATGCATTTCACAATACAGACCTAGGTTGTGCAATATAATACAATACAAAATGTATTTGAAATCCTTCAGGTGTATTACAGAGGATGAACAGACACCACACCAAAACATATTTAGTAAATGTAATTGAATCAAATGAGTGAGTGAGTGAGTATGGTCTTAAGCCGCTTTTAACAATATTCCAGCAATATCACAGCGGGGATACCAGAAATGGGCTTCACACATTATACCCATGTGTGGAATCGAACCCAGGTCTTCAGCGTGATGAGGATGCTTTAACCACTAGGCTACCCCACTGCCCCAAGTCAATCAAAACAACAGTGGCTCGACATTATGTTGATTATACTTCCAGAAACTTGATATTTACATATGTTACTGTGTCGGATATATTTATCATTATTTTGTAACTATACATGAACTCAAAATATGATACTTGAATTATAATGAACTGAACCTTTGGTGAATCGTTACACCTTAATAAACATTGTTAGTGATCACAGAAGTGCTAATACTGCTAGACACAGAAAAACCTTCATTCAAGTAACAAAGTAAGGAGGGAAACTGAAAATATAAATAGAGAACACAAGCTGTAAACACATAATATTTACTTAAGTTAATGAGGATAATAAAGTTAAGTTAGTAAAGGCTAATAGAACTGTGAAATCCTAGTGTGTATTACATACATAGAAAAATATAGATCATTAAAAACGTCTCAGAATATCATCACATAGTGATCTGAATACATAGAAGTTGTTAGTGCCATTATTTCCATATACAATGCTCTAACTTCCATGCAGTAAGAAAATAACCTGGTATTTTATTACATTGCACTTATGTATATGTAAAACTGTGCATGTATTTGTAAGACTCAGGACTCCCACCAAGATCGTGTAGACCCTCCATCTGGATCCCCATCAAGACCTTCCAACAGGATTGCCCAGACCCTCCATCCGGACAGCCATGAAGATCTACCAACATCATCGCTTAGACCCTCCATTCAGACCCTCCAACAAGATTGCCAACACCCTCTATCCGGACCCCCAATAGACCTTCCAAAGGGGTTCCACACACCCTCCATCTGGACCCCCATCAAGACCCTCCAACAGGATTGCCAACACCCCCTATCCAGACCCCCATTAGACCTTCTAAAGGGGATGCACACACCCTCACTCCGGACCCCCATCAAGACCCTCCAACAGGATTGCCAACACCCCCTATCCAGACCTGCATTAGACCTTCTAAAGGGGATGCACACACCCTCACTCCAGACCTCCATCAAGAGCCTCCAACAGGATTGCCAACACCCCCTATCCAGACCCCCATTAGACCTTCTAAAGGGGATGCACACACCCTCCCTCTGGACCCCCATCAAGACCCTCCAACAGGATTGCCAACACCCCCTATCCAGACCTGCATTAGACCTTCCAAAGGGGATGCACACACCCTCACTCCAGACCTCCATCAGGAGATTCCAACAGGATTGCCAACACCCTCTATCCGGACCCCCAAATAGACCTTCCAAAGGGTGCACACACCCTCCATCTTGACCCCCATCAAGGCCCATCGACAGGATTGCCAACACCTTCTTACTAGCGTTATACAGTCCAATAGGTTTGCAGGAACTTCACCAATCAGCACCATACAGTGAAGAAAGTGAATCAGTACAGACAATCAATCAATTCAATTTCATCATAATCCACGAACATCACCTCTCATAAATAGTAATGAGCCATTTCTAAGTGCATAGGCATTTGTTCAGGTGACATATTTATATTCATGATTCTCCATGTGTTTCTAGGCATGCAAACATAACAATGCTGTTTAACATTCCACACAAAGCACTACCTTCTAGTGAGCACCTGTTGGAGAGAATCACAGATAGCGTCTGACATCAAGTGTCAACTAATACCCTAACTTGCAGCTGCGTGTGAAAATGTGTAAAATGTAAGTACAATAACATAATAAACAAGGTTTATCATTAGTGAGCAAGGTTTTTAACCATTACTTCTAAATATCACACATTAAATCTTAATAAATTCTATGAAGGCCATTTAATGTAATGGTTATTAACACAGTCACTGAACAGTACCTGGGTACATTGAAGAATGTTTTAGTCCCAGGTAAATGAATCCTCTGTTACCCTTTGAAAGAAATTGTTATACAAATAGTGGACTAGGGTAAGTCTAAATTACACTGGCCCTCATAGTTTGTAGCTAGTCCTGACTGAACAAGACAATGTTTACTAAGTCTATATTTTCTGTCAGTTTATTAAAAGTTCGAGTTTGTAGCCAGATTGAAAACTGGTTCAGAATTAAAGCCCTCAAATGCTCTTTGATTTAATCAATGAGGACTACCATCAATGGATCTTTAATGTCCTAAGCACAACTTAGTAGTACCCAAGTAAGCAGACTTGCATGAATTTCAAGGGTTATGACAATTCTAAATGGAAACAAATATCTTTACTGGTAAACACACTTGCCAATTCCCTAGCAGAACAACTGTTAAAACTTTCTGTCAACGTAAACTGTTCTGAAAGATTCAAATTCCGCATTAACAGGTCACTTGATTAGCAATGGGACTGGGAATACAGAAGAGCGATCTTGTGGTATTGGGTACATTGCAGCGTATGCTGTTACCATCCACACTGTACCCCTATACCAGCCATGCAACAAACTGTTGGAACTCTCCAGACCTAACAATGAACTTCAACCACACTACAGGCACTCAGGTGACAGTCCTAATTGTCACAGTGAAAGCACCTTAAGTACACATCAACCTTCTACTTGTCTGACCATTTCTTGACCCAAGTCCATCGCTCACTTGACCTTTGCTTGTCGATTTCACAGATCTGCTCCACTGACATCACTAAGTTATATCTCTTCAGATGAATCCTTGTGTCTCACATTGATCATAGCTGCTTTGTATCACATGGCTCACTGTGGATATGGAAGCAAGGGCTGCTATGACATTGGCCTCAGATAGTTGGCTGGGGCATAGCCACGTTTACCATCTGCATCAACCAACCACCATTCAGTGTTCCCCTCCTGGTCAGACTTGGCTATCACGGTGATCACTTGACCCTCAAACATCGACACTTCACTTGCACCACGGGACTGGAAGGCAAACTCTGCGTAGTAATACTGAAACAGACAGGAACAGAATGGAGTTACTGGGATGTGATATTCGCTGAACCTGTCAGGATGTAGAAGTTAATATTCATTTTCATATTGTTTGCGTTTGTAGGATCTGCTTTCACCAAATTTGTCAAACGTGCAGAAAAAACATAAACAAGGTCTGTACTAAAGTTTTTTTGCTTGTTGTTCAATGCTACACTCAGCAATAGGTCTGTAAACTCAGTGATTGATATCACAAGCAATGACCCATGCTATCTGGGTTCGCAGACCTCAAGTCTCAGAAGCTGCTGCCAAATTTATTAAGGTACCACCGTAAGCTCCTAGTGAACTAATCTAACTTGGAATCCCCATGAGGATCTATTCTGCCCAGAATCCCTAAAGGCTCCTTCACACTTATTTCGAATTGACAGGAATCAAGGAGAATCAGCCAGGAATTATTTTCTTACAAAATTCGAACAACATTCGGGAGAGAATGTCAATATAAACACTTTTTCAAGCTTTGTAAGAATGCAACTCCCAAATGCTATCTGTCATTTCAGTGACAGGTGGCCACATTATTATGCTATTTGGCGGTGTTCTGATGACACCAGGGTTCATTTGAAGAGCATTCGGGACGTTCTGACTGTATTCGAAGTGTACTCGAGGTACATTCGAGCTGTATTCAACTGCAATCGAAATTTGACATTTGAAGAATATTCCACCTGAATTCCAGCAGCAATCGAGATTGCATTTGAGACATTCGAGACGCATTCGGGACATTCTGACAGGGTTTGAAGTGGCTTGCCTTTTCCATTCTCCCTCGAGTACGTTCAGAATACTTATAATGCAGTAAGAATACTTAGAATGCAGTTAGAATGCACTTCAAATGCCGTTCGATATTCTTCCACTTTGAATGTACCTCAAATTTTTAACATGTTCAAAACATTTGGGCATGTTACAAGAATTGACCCGAATAGTTGGAATGCAATCGGAATGCAGTAAGAAGTTTTAGAATGCAGTTTGAATTTCCAAGAATCTCCAGGAATTTTCATTCCAACATCATTCGGGCTCATTCTGCCTCCAGGTTGAAGGGGGTATTAGGGTTGCCACCCAAGGAATATTGTCCCTCTTTACCTGCTCAGGTTGTGCTTCGGGGACTGGTTCTGGGGTAAGGCTGGGGTAGACTTGAGCCTGACTAGCAGTGGACGACAGTGAGATGATGTCAGACATGGTGTCATTACCAAGGCTCTCCAGCCCCTCCTCCATCATCAGACTGTTGAGACTACCTGAGGGAGAGGAACCAGCCCCACCCACTCCTACTTCACCTGACCAGGGAGACAGGATCTTCTTTGGTACAAAGCCTTTCTTCACTGTAATCGAAAAAGTATATGCATATTTTAGCATCAGATTTTTATCAGTGAGTGAGATAGCATTTTTTTAGGCCACTTCCAGCAATATTCCAGCAGTATCACAGTGGGGACACCAGGAATGGGTGTGACACATTGCACCCATATGGGGAGTCTATAGTATGATGAGCAGACTATTAACCATTAGGCTACCCCACCATCCCAGATTGTTATCAGAAGGCATACATATTACATGCTGTGATAAATTCTCAATGCAAACCCAACTGTGATCTTACAAAACTTAAAGATAACTTTAAAATATCATCACTCAATGGGGGTGGTGGGTAGCATAGTGGTTAAAGCGTTCGCTCGTCATGCCGAAGACCCAGGTTCGGGTACAATGTGTGAAGCAAATTTCTGGTGTCCCAAGCCGTGATGTTGCTGGAATACTGCTAAAGCGGTGTAAGACTAAACTCACTCATCCCTCTAGGGAATGAAAACAACTAGATATTTTACCCAAAATTGTTTAATGAATCTAGACAGAATGTTTTCTTTCTTTGTTTCTAAATAACTCACTGACCTCCGTCATCAACAAACCACTTGTCCTTGTTGCCCATGGGATCCTGATCCTTGATGACACCCACCATGATCCCTTCATTCAAGCACAAGTCCATGGAGTCAAGGGCAGAGTATGTGTAGCCCACACGATGCAGCTTGGCCGCAGGGTAGAGCTGACGGAGATACACACGCTGGCTGTCACTCTGGGGGCTGCTTGACCCGGCTGCTGGCTGCAGACACAAACACCATCATCAACAAGTTCCTCTATTTCCTACAATCTGATAAGGACACACTTTATGGATGGACAACTTCCTTATATGGGTGATGTGACGTTTTGAGACAGATTCTTGTATCAAGCAGGTATGAATCTGTATCGAAAAAGGTACCAGAAGAATCTGTATCGAAACATCGGATCACCTGAATAAAGAAGTTGTCCATCTATAAAGTGTGTCCTTATCTGACTCTCCAACTTCTAACAATGCCACTCAAAGAAGTTATCCTACAATCTATTTCACAAGACTGGCAAGTACTGCCTTGGTCAACTATACTGAGGGAACAAATAAGGGAACACCACTTCATTGCAGTGTTCCTTTATTTATTCTCAGATTTCCTCCCACAGCGCTATCTGCCCTCCTCCCACAGCGCTATCTGCCCCCAGTGCCCTGGTATACTATGCTTTACTGCGCTATCTGCCCTCAGTGCCCTGGTATACAATGCTGTAACACTATCCTTCCCCAGTGCCCTGGTATACAATGCTGTAGCACTATATGCCCTCAGTGCCCTGGTATACAAAGCTGTAACACAAAGACCTACTGTGGTCAATCTGGTCAGTAATATCTTGTCAACAATTACTGACAATTTTATATGATGATCTTCTACTATCTTGACACTAGTCCTTGTTAACTATTTCCTACAATACTGAGGCACAAAGAAAGACCTAAAACCATGAGGCCAAAATTGCCCTGAGCAACAGTTTCATACAAATCTGTATCACAGGTGAAGACCTACCACTGTCCGGCCAGCACTACCCTGGCCGAGAGACATCCTCTTCTGTTTCTTGTCAGGCTTCATTGAGTCCATCTTAGGGTTGAAGCCTCGAGGTATGAACATGAGAGTGGACACCCTGTCTAGCGCTGTGCTGTGGCTTATGTTGAATGTCTCTATCACACCAGCATCAGAAGATAACAGCAGTGGCAACTGTAACCAATAACATGTTCTACATTCAACACTGTGTGTGCTGACTACTTTTGACAACAGAGTATTTGTCGTGGTTTGGCGACTAAGTTATAATATGCGTTTGGAAAACATAGGCACAAGTATCTTTTTACTTGTAAAGGGATAAGGATATATACTGGTGGTCATTAGTTAGGACAGTCAGTGAGCAAGTGAGTTTTGTTTTCATCTTTATTAGTCCAACTGAGACAATTAAAACAAACATTGCACCCATGTGGAATTAAACTGGGTTTTTGAACTGATAAACATCACCTCAACCAGAAGGCTATCCCATGTTCGTTACTGTTGAATGCCTCACTCTGAGATAGTCCAGCTACATGATGTCAGTGTGCAGAAAATCGAGCAGACAATCCAGTCACTGACATTATGAGCAATCAAGCAAGGAACGGTGTCTGACAACCTGGTTACTAGGAACCAATATTCTCACTCAGATTCCCTAGACCACCCACAATGTCATGCCATTTGAATATGCTCTTCTGTAGACCACATTATTTTGTTTTCAGGCTTAATTACTCACCTGTACAAGTGTATACGTTGCTTTGAGAGTCTGGTCTGTGAAGGTCTTCTGAGCTTTGGTGAAAGCCCCCATACAGTCTGTGAGCATCTTGAACGCTAGACTGAAAAGTTTGGGCAGCTCGTCCAGGAGTTGAGCGTTCATAGCCTCATAATCATTCTTGGCTATCTGCAGTGCATCATTCTAAACAAACACAAGAAAACAACATGTTCATTTGCTACCCTCATATAATAATATGCATCTGGCATGGCTGATAACTGATTTCAGATGAGCACATTTCCATTTTCTGGGGAAACGGATGTCCTTATGATCTAAATGAACCAATTTTATCACCTTATCACCTCATCACCTCATCTGGCCTTGTCCAACAATTCCATCCAGTAAAGAATTCTCTTGCAGACATATTTGGAAGCTAAATTTTTACAATGTTAATCAGAATGTTGCAAAATCTACCCAAAACAACAAAAAACTGATGTAGGAATTTGTATTTGCCATAGAAGTTTGAAATGTTTACTCTGTAACCTGAACCCTGAAGTGAGTCAGCTTTCTTGCAGATGTTAACAGACCCTGAACCTGAGGAAACCTGAACTTGCTTCTTTTAGGTATTTAGCACTGCAGAAAGGGTTGAACTGAAGGGGAAATAATGTGATTCAGGGACTGTGAGACAGACTATGCTGGGTATGTATAATCCACGATATTAGAGCCACTACTCCTTGCCCTGGTTCATACAAGACTGTCATACCTTCTCATTGTCCTTGGCCTTCCTGAACTGACTGTCATAGTCCAGCATCTTGTCAAACCTCTTCTCAATAACATTGTTGGGCCCATCAAACATCTGTATGAGTTGGCTCAGAGGGACAAGAACTTGTTCCTCCACAGTGCATCTCTGTATAGTGTAGAGAATAATGACTAGTGTGAGTTAGTGAGTTTAGTTTCTACGCTGCTTTTAGCAATATTCCAGCAATATCACAGAGGGGGACACCAGAAATGGGCTTCACACATTGTACCCATGTGAGGAAACGAACCTCGAACTTCGGCGCGACGAGCGAACGCTTTAACCACTTGGCTACCCCACCTCTTATTTCCTTCCTTTCACATGTATACTTGGAATTTATAAGCAATCTTCAAGGAATTTCACATTAAAATGTTATGGTTGATCTGCTAACGTTCTACAACCGGCCCTGACAGTTCCATAGCCTCAAAATATATGTTTGATGACTGAAAGAGCTTTTGTCAGGCAATGGCAAGGCAGTGGTTAAATGCCCATTCACATCATACCAAGACTCTAAAAGATGGTACTTGCTGTTACCCTGCCTGGTGCTAGGCATTACGGGGACTGGTCAGCTTAAGAGTCAGTATACCCTGTCCGACTGACGTCTCAATACAGAATGCAGCTTTGTGCTGAAAAACAATGTTCAGTCCGGACTACTACAAGTGCAACATCCAACACACCCACATATCACGTCACAAGCAAACATCAATACTCACGAACGTGTGAAGCAGTGGACCGACAATCTTGCCCTGGATCTCCTTATACATCTTCACCTCCTCTGAGGGTTGCCCATCGTACAGGTCAACAATGTCTGCCACCAGACTCTCCTCTGCCCCGACACACTCCTGGACAACAACATGTATACAACTTGTAAACATGTGAACAAGGGAGTCAATCAGCAGATTTCCCTTTCATCTATGGTAGAGCTGCATTAGCCATGGTAGTGGACCAGTAATTCATTAAAGCGGGATTGTTATTGAAATATTATACATATGTGAGGAGGGCAAGTCAGGTAAGTTTTTTATCATTGGAGCCTCTTCAAGCACACAAAATATCAATTCTTCTGTTTACTGAGAAGAGAATACACCTGCCATCTGTAACTTGATAACCCAGACCGAAGATATAGGTTTCATGAAGGAAATAGAGAAAACAATTATGTTTTATATCCTTACCACGTATAGTAAGACTGCAGCAACAACCCTGTATTACACACCCGTTGATTATTTACAATCTGTTACGTTAAAGCTGGGATACAGATGGCTGGCACAAAACAACATTCACTCATTATTTCTCAATATGTGAATCACAGTTTGGATACCCACCTGCATGTGCTCCATATACATGGAGACATTTTTCTGGAAGACTCTTATAGCCTTCTCTATGTGCCGGAACCGTACCTCTTCCCGCTCAAAGTTCTCGTCCCGAGTCTATTAATTAATCAAATACAAAAATTAGGGAAAAGTCTACAAAAGTATCAGTGTCGCTGAACAGACTCTCAATCAAGAAAAACTTAATAACAAGCATCTTTGACCTACACGACAATAGCCATACAGTCTGAAGGACGAGTCCAGAATACTTATGTTAGTTCATGCAGGTCATGTTTTTGAAACATGTTTTGTATTGATGTTTAAGTAAAATCAGCTGTGGTGTCATCGCCTCTGGCCGACTAGTGTTGTGCAGAGTAGTTTTGGTGTGTCCCCACTGTATTCCCCTTCCCCTACCTGCAGCCCCAGTCCCAGGTTGGTTGACAGTCGGCCCCGCATCCTGCTGGACTTCTTCCTGATAGAGTGGAAGTTGAACTTGGCGATCTTCTCACTGAACCGCTGGTCACTATCCTTCTTGTATTTGAACACTGCACAAAACAATGTGAACACTTTATCATCCATCACACTTAACACCACTTAAACTTACAAACGAAACAATCTTTGAGCAAGCAGCTTCAATGCATAATATGACTGTTGTTCTTTAAAGGACACGTTTTGCATATTACAACATTATTGTTGATCTAGGAGGCTTACACCCCAACTCAGCCCTTCAAATCTCTACCCAAATGGTATGCCTTAAGAGATTCCATCCCTGAGAAAGAGATACATTGCTAATATCTTGAATCCAAGCTACTTACACTGTCTGCTTGTTTAAGTACAAATATAGGAAATTTATCTCAAGTAAGAGGTGCGAGAAAGAAAATTGACTGACATCCTATTTACATAAAACACATTCAGATTGTCTTATAATATCATGTTATTTTGTCTTATAGTTTCAGAAAAGTATGGGGAAAATAGATCTGCTCTTGCTAGTCATAACTATCACCTTACCTAAGTCTTTCCTTCGCTTGTATTCATTAATAGCAGTAGCCACATCAGTCATGGCGCTGATGGCTTTAACAATCTCCTGTTTGTCTTTGTGATCATCCTCTGTTGACTGAAATAAGCAAGTGTTCATTTCATAACCTCATCACATGTGAAAATGTATATAAAAGAAGTAAACATTAACTCGGCTTTTGAACTCTTGAATTCATTCCTACAACCATCAATATTGTTAATGGTTCTACTGAGTTTGGAATAGCTCTACACATACAATTGTAGCCTCAAAACCTTGATTTATTTCAGCTTAAGAAAAGGTGTTTACTGTATAATAGTCATAATAAGATGGCAAATCACCCTGGCCCCTACAAAACTGTGTGCACAGTTTCATGAAAGAATACCTATTAGTTTTAGAGATACGGTCCTGACAAAGACACCACTATGAACAGTCAAAGTCGAACTTGTCACCATGGAAACAGAAATATATTCATTTTCTTAAAATTCCCAAATAACAAAAGGCACCATTTTAGCCAGATGAACATTGATTTTTTTGAGCTGTGCTCCAGAAACAAAATCCACCCTTCTCCCTTTTGAGACTAAGTCCAAATCCAAGGAAATCAAGAAAAAGAAAAATGCCAAAAATCTGCAAGTAGCAAAGGCACCAATTCAGAATTTGTTTGATGTATCTGCCAAGTTTTGTTGAAAAAAATTCAAACGTTTTTGGAGTTATGCTCCACAAACGAAATCTACCCCTTCTTGTTTCATGGAAATTGAGAAAATTGAAAATGCCAAAAATCTGTAAATAGAAAATGCTCCACTCTAGGTTCTGTTTGAAATATCTACCAATTTTTGTTGAAAAGTTTGAATGTTATGCTCTGGAAGCGATATGATTACAGACAGACGAGGTGTTGACTATATCCCCCCACATCATCGTTGGGGGGGGAGATAAAAAAAACCAAACTAATTAGATACCAGTGATGTCAGTTAGCAAAACATCACATAAAAGATGTGTGGTACTGAATGGGTCCAGGTTATAGTTATCATAATATACAGTGGCTGTATCAAAGATGACACTAAACTAACAAGCTCCTTCTTTGTTTGTTGTTTGTCTGTTAGGTTTTCAATACTAAAAACATTATTCCAGCTATATGACAACGGTCTGTAAATACTCCTGCATGGACCAGACAACAAGTGATTGGCATCATAACAATTAATCTCCACAACTGGGATAAAATGACATGCATCAAGCAGGTGGCGAAAATCTGACCCTCAGATCCTGTTAGCTGCCTTTTACAATAAGCATGGGTTGCTGTAGATCCGTTCTGACCCAGGTTGTCATGGAAACTCAAATCTGTAAGCTCAAAGTCAAACAAAAAGGTAGTGGGAATAACCATCTTGTAATAAAAGTGGAACATAAACCTACGCACCTTGAAAAGTTCATTCAGCAGAAGTGGGTACTTGAGTATTCTCTGTATAGGTTTGATGAGCAGCGACTCCAGGTCAAACACATTGGTCTGTTCTCTCAGCTTGGTAATGATACGCGTAAAATACTCCTTCACTTCCACGTTGTCTGTGTACTGGAAAAACATACAAATTCCTCAATACTTCCACAGCAAAAGACACAAAACATGATGTGGTGTGATGCTTATTTTGAAACACTTTTTGATTTCTTTTGTTTTGTTTATTGTTGCACTCAGCAATATTCGAGCAATTCGACGGCAGTATCTAAATAATCAAATCTGGAATAGAGTGAGTGAGTGAGTTTAGTTTTACGCCACACTCAGCAATATTCCAGCTATATGGTGGCAGTCTGTAAATAATCGAGTCTGGACCAGACAATCCAGTGACTAACAGCATGAGCATCGACCTGCGCAACAGGGAACCGATGACATGTGTCAACCAAGCCAGCGAGCCTGACCACCCGATCCGATAATTCGCCCCTTACGAATCTGGAATAGACAATCTAATGGTATTGGTATTGTGAATATTAGCAACCATCACACCATCTTTTTACATGTTAGCGACCTGGCTGTCATTGTACAAAGCAGCTGTGCTACGACAGCCACAACTTCACGTTGAGGTATTGCAGTTATGAGCACCTTAGCGCTAACATCACTTTGCACAACGTCACCAAAGTCACTATGCCTGACCACCTGATTCTATTAGTTTCCCCCTTTACTATGCAATACATGCTAGGAGAATACAGCCTCATACTGATCATTGTACCACCTAATTAAGGTGAGCCACATTACTGTACAAGCTGATGACCCACTCAGTCTTAAATAACAAAAGAAGAAAAATGGACTACTGTATTCTCCTTGCAGGGTAATTCACTTGGCATGTCACTGTAGGAGCAAGACCCACCTTTTCCATGAGAGTGATAACTGCATCATGGTTCCTGCAGTACGGAGCATACGTGTTCTTCATGTCCTCAGAGAAATGCACAAAGTTGGGACCTGAAACAAGTCACAGCATTCAAGGACACTGGAGGTTTTTGGTATCATTCTGACCAAAAACATACCAGCTCATGTGAAATAGTGAACAGTCATTTTGTTCTACTTTTGATCAGAAATGCTTGTCCATTATTCAGAGACATTCAATGTCAGCTGGGATCAGGGGAAATAAGGTATACTGTGATAGCACATATAAAAAACAGGAGCACTGACATGACTAAATCTGTGGAATTTTATCCTTGGAAACTTGTCATCCTTGAAATTCTGGACGACCTTATACTGAAATAATACTTTTCAATCTTAAAGATATATAACCTTCAGTCACTTTAACATTTAACAGAAAGCCCTAGGTAAGAACATAAGGGTTACCAAAATGTATTGATCACCTATTATCTGTTCCTCAAATGTCTTCCCATTGATGCAGCCTTCCAGCATGGTGAGGAGTCTCTGTGAGACGTCTGCTATCTCCTCGATGTTGCCGAACACCACCTCCATGTCCACACCAGGCACCTGACAGACATAACATTTGCTTTAACTTTACTGTCTCACACGAGAGCCATACCAAGATACATATACAAGATAAACCAGTGTCTTCCAGACTGTGCAATGATACGTCACTGATACTCAACTCATTCACACATACCAACCACATAATCCACTGTCAAAGTCAAATGACAATATTTATTTCATGTATAGTTGGCAACAAAATGATTCATCTATACGTATTTTGTTTGTGACTGTTATGTTACCATCGCCTTTTGAGGTCTTCTAATCTAAGACAGACAAGTGTGGGACAGTCTTGGGTTTTACTTTTTTCATTCCACTTGAGAGTTACCTCCCTTCCCTAGACTTGCATTGTCTCTTCTACATAGCTACCACCACAGAGACCTGAGAACAATTTCTGCATAATTCTTGTTCCATCACTGTACCTTCTCAGCAGCTGGACCTAGGAAGGCGTCGATGCACAGATGAAGGTCACGCAGGTAGTCCTTCTCCGTAGCCAGAAGTTCTGCAATTACATTTTCTCTCTTCTCCCTCCTCTTTTGTTTCTGCTCCTCTTGCCTCTTCTTGTCTTCCTCCATCTTCCTTTTGGCTTCCTCTCGCCGGCGCTGTGCTTCTTGTTCTGCCTGGTACTGACGTAGTTCCGCTGGGCAGAGCTGGTGAAGTTCTTCTGAGGAAGGAAGGACAGGAATATGTACACAGAAGACTTCACCTACTGCTGGAATATCTCACAGCATGGATTACCTGGTAGCTACATACACTATAGTGTTATAACCTTAGTAGACATACACTTTTATAGTGATATAACCTGAGTAGACTAAAGTCAATGCAACCATGTTTCTTTACTGACATTATTGGTAGTCTTTATTTTCTACTGACCAGTTGACAAATATGTCTCCATCATACTCTTCTGCTCTGGCATTCCCACAGGACAAATGAATGTCCTTGGAAACTATTCTATCATCTAATGTTCTGTGAACCTATTTTACTCTTCTCCAATTCCCTGGGAAACTCTTTTTCACTGACTGTTCCGGGAACCTATTCTGTTCTGGAACGCTTCAGGAAATGGTCAAAACTGGACTTAACCTGAAGTTTACTAGGACATTAAATCTAGGATGTGAGAGAGTGTGAGATGCACATACGTCTAAGATTGGTCAGTTCCTCTGTGAGGCCCTCTACATTTGCTCGCTGGTCATCTAGGGTCTCCAGGATTTCCTCTCTGCCCTCCTCCCCCCACCTGCTGTAGCATCAGCGTCAACTCACTGCATGACTTCTCATAGCTCTGAAACAGGACAGTCAGACTCAACACCTTAAAGTCAAACAAGAAGACACATGTTTGGATAGTGCAACTCACATCTAATCTTGAATTGAACATCTGCACATACAAACAACCAGTCTCATGGAAAACATGGACACTGACATGGAAACAGGTGGACTATTGTTTGCATTATATATCAGGGGTGGAAATAACTTTAAAATTGTTAGTGTACTCCGGTACAGTGGCACATGTAAAATCACTTGCCCTGATGATTTTTCCACTATACCGGCCATTTTCTTGTTGATTCTTTAAATAAACAACATAATTTACATTGGAAAGTCAACTGGACACCGGTACAGTGTGATATACAAATTTGCTTGCCCGACAGAAAAAAACGCTGGACTCCGGCGTCGGGCAATGGGTTATTTCCACCCCTGTATATTATCAAATGGTGGGGATATTCAATAAAAGGATGTCACAACTACTACAGAGGTTCCAACCCTAATTTAGCCTAATTAGTATTTTGCCCCAAAACTGCTGCAAAACTTAGTATTTTTGGACCAAAATTAAAATAGACTTTTCCAAAGAATTTTCATATTTAATATAAAATATATAGATATTCTACGAACGTGTTATTAACATTGTGCTCACCTAAATCAGTAGTAAGTATCCACAAATAGCTTGATACTGAATAAAATGTGCTTGAAATTTATTGTGTATGGTACGTATGCTACTTGATAATTTAATTTAATGTATTTTTTTTTAAAACTTGTATATATTTACGGCTATCGTAGTCGCATATGTTGTTTTGTGTTTTCGTAATGAATACAATAAAATCGTATGGGTTGGCATCTCTGCTACTGATACTTTATGTTTTGGATGAGATAAATAGTTTAACAGCGTAACAGGGACATCTGATTGAGATTTGCATTAGTCATTGAATGTCAGATGCTAATAGATTTTGTCAGCTGACTGGCTAATGCGTCCTAGTGTCCATCATGTAATTTACCATGAAAAGTCCAAATCTTTATAATCATGCAAATCTGCCTGCACTCTGAAGACAATTCTGGGTTTGACGAGATAAACTAATAATCAAACATCCAATGTCAGCTTGGTTCATTCTAGTGCGGGCTGTTGATATACTGTAGTTAATAGGGATTGATACTCGATAAATATCGAACAAAAATGTCCAAAAGAAATGAAGATATTTCACATCACTGGTGACACATTTATTCATGGATTACCAAATTACCAACAAAAGTAGTGTCCTGTACATACTTAGATGGATCCTTTGAATAAAGACATAATGTCTACAATTTTATTTCAACTCAAGAGATTAACAAGGTTATTATAGATGACACATATCGATAAATTGTTGATAGTTCTTCCCATCAACGATATTTCCAATTATCAATCTTTTTAGCCAGCCCTAGTTCATTTCATCCTCTTCTTCCTGCTGGTCAGTTCACTGAGGGTGGTCAGTGATGGTTGATGGTGATGTAAAACGTACAAGCACATCCCAGACATGTTCAATGGGTGACAAGTCTGGACTGAGTGCTGGCGATGGTAAGGTGGTTATGTTCACCTGGTAAAGGTAATCAGTAACAATACATGCTCTATGTGCTCTTGAGTTCTCATCCTTAAACGGTTATTTTCGAAATCCATATACAATCATATAACTTAGTTCACAAATAATTTCACCCCAAAATGGAATATCCCCTACATTTTTTTATCGTGTATATCTGGGACTGAAGTTACCTGACGTTACACTGTTAAACACCGACACCATAGTGTATAATCCAAATACTTACCATTGATAAAAGTGTGCTTTCTTACATAGAATTATCACATACAGTGTTTCAAATTTTGCATTTATAGTTGAAAGGGTCATTGTCTTAACTCTAATGTTAAAACATGAAGACTAAGTGGGTTCCTACATTCAGACACTACCTCAGCAAACAATAAGGGACCCACTGGCCCTTCATGTCCAGCTCTGATATTGTTTACTACAGAAGGGCTTGGGAACAATCATTAAAATCATAACCTTTCCACCTCATGTAAAACAGAACAAGAGACAGGAAACATATATTACTACACACCCACCATTACTAGAGCAGTGTAATGACAAAACACATCCAATGTATGTTCTCCAAATATGCTGTATGCTCTGTAACATACTCCTTGAAACAGTTTTACAGAGTCTTAATGGATGGAAAAGGTTGTGTCTTGTATGCATGAATGTTAATAATGACAAAAACTATCCACAGCAAACCCTAATTGTTCACAGAGACTGATTATGTGAATTACATCCTCTATGCTGTTTAATGAGGTGAAACCTCAAAGGCGACAAAGAAACAACATAGAGGCTGTTAATATGAGGAAAATACCTCGTTGGCCACAAAGAGAGTCTGAATATTGGAATTACATCCTCTATGCTGTTAATATGAGGTGAACCCTCATTGGCCACAAAGAGAGAATGAAACTAGAATGAAAGAAACTATTTATATTGCAGCATGTCAGATTTAGCAGGTATTTTTGTTCCAAAATTGTTTGGACAGTCCATTTCAGATTTTTGTTTTGATTAAATGAAGGCAAATCACCTCATTTACGGAATTTACAAGGGTCTTACAGTCCCATACCCCCTTTCAAAACACTGTGTAAGTAATAGTACACCTTACCCAGTATTCATATTTATTACCCAATATTAATATTCGTTACCCAGTATTCATGATATGTATCATATTTGCTTTATAGCAGATTCGATGCAGCCCTTGTGTGAACCCAATTTTAGTAACCCAATATTGGATGGCAAAGATGTGATAGAGTGAGTGAGTGAGTGAGTATGGTTTTACGCCGCTTTTAGCAATATTCCAGCAATATCACGGCGGGGGACACCAGAAATGGGCTTCACACATTGTACCCATGTGGGGAAGATGTGATAGAAGGTCAAGGTTACATATAGTCTAATTTGCATTAACCTTTGGTCAACCTCTATATAAGTTCAAGGTCACTGGATCTCTTCCGAAACTGCTCAAATTTCATAAATAGTTTGTCACACTCTTGAAAAATCAAACCTTTGCTATTCACTTAAAACTGAGACATCACAATAACTGATATATATCACAATAATGACAGGATGAACAGAGTTCATGTCAAAGTCACTGCTGAATAGGGGTTAAGTGATACTACATGGATGTACATACCAGATGTACTACTACATTACATCACCTTGACTTGTGTACACAATACAGTCCTGCATCACGGTTCTTGACAATATAAAGTACATGTCTTGTACAAAATGGTCTGTTTGGTATAATGACTGCCCTGACCCTTAATGTGTTTTTCAGTCACATGATCTGGGCTTTTCTTTGTAATTCTAAGACATGTATTGCATCATGGTCATTTGTATCCATGCATCCCTACTTATGACAATAGCTTCATGTTGAACTTACTGCCTGTTTGGTTATAGACAGTTGTAACACTCCCCAACCCCTTGAGACAATGTAAACGTAGTCTCTCAGAGAGGACTTACATGTTCACCAGGGTCTGATAAAGAGTGGATTTGAATTTCAATGAGATCGACCACAGGGTCATGAGAGATAGTATTGAAAACAATATCCCAAAATTCAGAAAGACTTGATTTTTATATGTGGGAAAACAACTCTATTGTCTGTGTGTTTTACTTGTAGGTTGTTTAACACTACTCTCAGTATTATCAAGTACACGATGTCAGTCTGTAAAGAATAATATCTGGATCAGACAATCCAGTGATTGACATCATGGTCATCAATGTGGGCCTTCAGGCTGCAATGACTTGCATTAATCAAGTCAGTGAGTCTGACCATCCAATCTTCTTAGTCAGCCCTTACAGCCACCATGGACTGTTGAAGAGTAATTCTAATCCTGGGTTCTGATCCACAAAACGTTTGTAGCACTACGACATTCACAAGCCTTTGATAAACTATGGAGCTACAACAGGTCGTAATGTTACGAACGCTTTCTGGATCGGTACCCAGATCTTCACAGAACTGACTCTACTGACATGCATGAGGAGCCTTGAAGTTGACCTGATCCAGGAGATTTTCTTTGTATAATCATACCTTCACAAATACTGCCACACAACACTAGATTGTTTACAACTGGTAACTCTGCTACATTCCTCCCACTAGGAGTGGTGTTCGGGCTCTTGTGATAAAGAAACTACATCATGCATTGACAAAGCACGACTGGGGCAGTATCACTTACTTAAATTTAATATGCTGACTGAAATTGAGATTACAGTGCATTAGTACATTCCAAAAGAATGATTCATTATATATTTACTACTCACATTCTTCTCATCATAAATTGCTTGATAAAAAGATAAAGGGGAGTTTAATGTTTAGAGGCCTACAAAACATAATCATTGTTTCTGGTATTCTTTGTTGTAGCTCATGTCCAAGTGCTTATCTCAGATGTGGCCACTTGCGTCAGTACCCAAGGATGTTGGTCACCTATCCTAGTACTTACATCAGACTACAGGATACATACCTCAATGTCATTCTAGATGTTGTCACATGTCACAGTACTGATGTCTGATGTAAGTCACATGTCACAGTACTGATGTTTGATATTGGTCACATGTCACAGTGCTGATGTTTGCCTTTGGTCACCAGTCACAGTACTGATGTCTAATGTTGGTCACCTGTCACAGTACTGATGTCTGATATTGGTCACCTGTCACAGTACTGATGTCTGATGTTGGTCACCTGTCACAGTACTGATGTCTGATATTGTCACCTGTCACAGTACTGATGTCTGATGTTGGTCACCTCTCACAGTACTGATGTCTGATATTGGTCACCTATCACAGTACTGATGCCTGATGTTAGTCACCTGTCACAGTACTAATGTCTTATATTGGTCACTTCTCACAGTACTGATGTCTGATGTTGGTCACCTGTCACAGTACTAATGTCTCATATTGGTCACTTCTCACAGTACTGATGTCTGATGTTGGTCACCTGTCACAGTACTAATGTCTTATGTTCGTCACCTGTCACAGTACTGATGTCTGATGTTAGTCACCAGTCACAGTACTGATGTCTGATGGTAGTCACCACTCACAGTACTGATGTCTGATGTTAGTCACCTCTCACAGTACTAATGTCTGATGGTAGTCACCTGTCACAGTACTGATGTCTGATATTGGTCACCTATCACAGTACTGATGTGTGATGTTGGTCACCTGTCACAGTACTAATGTCTGATGTTGGTCACCTCTAACAGTACTGATGTCTGATATTGGTCACCTATCACAGTACTGATGTCTGATGTTGGTCACCTGTCACAGTAATGATGTCTGATATTGGTTACCTATCACAAAACTGATGTCTGATGTTGGTCACCTGTCACAGTACTGATGTCTGATATTGGTCACCTGTCACAGTACTGATATTGGTCACCAGTCACAGTACTGATGTCTGATGTTGGTCACCTATCACAGTACTGATGTGTGATGTTGGTCACCTCTCACAGTACTGATGTCTGATATTGGTCACCTCACAGTACTGATATCTGATGTTGGTCACCTGTCACAGTACTAATGTCTGATGTTAGTCACCAGTCACGGTACTGATGTCTGATGTTAGTCACCACTCACAGTACTGATGTCTGATCTTGGTCACATGTCACAGTACTGATGTCTGATCTTGGTCACCTCTCACAGTACTGATGTCTGATGTTGCCCACCTGTCACGGTACTAATGTCTTATGTTTGTCACCTGTCACAGTACTGATGTCTGATGTTCGTCACCTGTCACAGTACTGATATTCATCACCTCTCACAGTACTGATGTCTGATATTGGTCACCTATCACAGTACTAATGTCTGATGTTGGTCACCTGTCACATTACTGATGTTGGTTACCTATCACAGTACTAATGTCTGATGTTGGTCACCTGTCACATTACTGATATTGGTCACCTGTCACAGTACTGATGTCTAATATTGGTCCCCTATCACAATACTGATGTCTGATGTTGGTCACCTCTAACAGTACTGATGTCTGATATTGGTCACCTATCACAGTACTGATGTCTGATGTTGGTCACCTGTCACAGTAATGATGTCTGATATTGGTTACCTATCACAGTACTGATGTGTGATGTTGGTCACCTGTCACATTACTGATATTGGTCACCTATCACAGTACTAATGTCTGATACTGGTTACCTATCACAGTACTGATGTGTGATGTTGGTCACCTGTCACATTACTGATATTGGTCACCTATCACAGTACTAATGTCTGATGTTGGTTACCTATCACAGTACTGATGTCTGATGTTGGTCACCTGTCACATTACTGATATTAATATCACAGTACTAATGTCTTATATTGGTTACCTATCACAGTACTGATGTGTGATGTTGGTCACCTGTCACATTACTGATATTGGTCACCTATCACAGTACTAATGTCTTATATTGGTTACCTATCACAGTACTGATGTGTGATGTTGGTCACCTGTCACATTACTGATATTGGTCACCTATCACAGTACTAATGTCTAATATTGGTTACCTATCACAGTACTGATGTGTGATGTTGGTCACCTGTCACATTACTGATATTGGTCACCTATCACAGTACTGATGTCTGATGTTAGTCACCTGTCACAGTACTGATGTCTGATGTTAGTCACCTGTCACAGTACTGATGTCTGATGTTAGTCACCTGTCACAGTACTGATGTCTGATGTTAGTCACCTGTCACAGTACTGATGTCTGATGTTAGTCACATGTCACAGTACTGATGTCTAATGTTGGTCACCTGTCACAGTACTAATATCAGATTATTGGCCAAATGTCACAGTACTAATATTAGTTGATGATCACCCATCACAGTTCAAATATCAGGACCCATGAAGAAGGGATAGAATTGGTCTTAAACAATAAGTGCTTGTTGTAATGGGCAACTAAGAGGATTCATAGGTCAGACTGGCTGTCCTGGCTGATGCCAGTCATTGTAGCTTAATAGTATAACTCATTCATGATGCCACAGTACTAATATCAGCTGTCAATCACATGTCACAAAAATAATATCAGCTGTCAATCACATGTCACAGTACCAATATCAGCTGTCAATCACATGTCAAGTACCAATATCAGCTGTCAATCACATGTCACAGTACCAATATCAGCTGTCAATCACATGTCACAGTACTAATATCAGCTGTCAATCACATCACAGTACTAATATCAGCTGTCAATCACATGTCACAGTACTAATATCAGCTGTCAATCACACTAATATGTCAGTCACATGTCACACTAATATCAGCTGTCAATCACATGTCACAGTACTAATATCAGCTGCCAATCACATGTCACAGTACTAATATCAGCTGTCAATCACTTGTCACAGTACTAATATCAGCTGTCAATCACTTGTCACAGTACTATTATCAGCTGTCAATCACATGTCACAGTGCTAATATCAGCTGTCAATCACTTGTCACAGTGCTAATATCAGCTGTCAATCACATGTCACAGTACTAATATCAGCTGCCAATCACATGTCACAGTACCAATATCAGCTGTCAATCACTTGTCACAGTACTAATATCAGCTGTCAATCACTTGTCACAGTACTAATATCAGCTGTCAATCATATGTCACAGTACTAATATCAGCTGTCAATCACATGTCACAGTACTAATATCAGCTGTCAATCACATGTCACAGTACTAATATCAGCTGTCAATCACATCACAGTACCAATATCAGCTGTCAATCACATGTCACAGTACTAATATCAGCTGTCAATCACTTGTCACAGTACCAATATCAGCTGTCAATCACATGTCACAGTACTAATATCAGCTGTCAATCACTTGTCACAGTACTAATATCAGCTGTCAAATCACTTGTCACAGTACCAATATCAGCTGTCAATCACTTGTCACAGTACCAATATCATGGTGGGGGAAGCAGACCGGTGAAAGCGTTTGCTCGTCACACTTAAGACCAAGTCAAATACTGTTACTTAAAACAATCTTCTACTTATTAAAGGTATACTTCCAATAAATGGAGTGGTGGGGTAGCCTAGTGGTTAAAATGTTCGCTCGTCACGCCGGAGACCCTGGTACGATTCCCTATACGGGTACAATGCGTGAAGCCCATTTCTGGTGTCCCCAGCCGTGATATTGCTGGAATATTTCTAAAACCGGCATAAAACTATACTCACTCACTCACTCGCTAATATCAGATTATAGTGTGCATATCACAGTACTAATATCAAATGATGATTGTACATCCATTACAAACATCAGATCATAGGGCACTATACTCATCTGTGTACTCAGTTACTAGCCTGACAGCTGACACATATACTGTTCCTAGCCGGATGTACCAGAGTCCTCCTGTTGGGGGAGTTGTACTGTGGGGGATCAAGCTCACCTGTATATCTTTCTGTATCTCTGCTATCCTTCCCTTCAGCTCCGCAACCACCTCTGCATTCACCTCATCATCTACATCTGGAAATAATGTAAATATTAATATCTAACATACAGCAAAACAGATGCAAACAAAATGCAACCACACAGCCATATTTTGACTGAAGGGGTCATTGTCGGCACAGGTACAACAGATATGTACTCCAGGTTGTGTCCCAGTTAAACTGTCCCTGTCACAGCACTAACAAGCCTTATGTAAAGACTGAACAATATATTAGGCCCTTAAACACATGCTTGACATAAATACCACAGCAATAAACAGACAAGGACTCCAAAAGCCCTGCATTTCCTAACACTTTAGATACACAACAAAGCCATTAAATAACATATCAGGGATGGAAAGTACCCTTGAAAATGTTTGAAATTCCACAAGCATACACTTAACATTTACAAATTTGATAAAGGCTTGTGCTAATTTCTATCCCTGTAAAAATATGCATAAACATGATAACTACATGCTTGATTGGCATTTTAGAAGATGATATTTGATGAACATAAAGTTTTTTTCTGGATTACATCTTCTTTTTATTCTCGAGTACAACGTTTCAGGGCTTGTTCTGAAGCCCTGAAACGTTGTGCTCGAGAATAAAAAGAATATGTAATCCAGAAAAAAACCTCTATGTTCATGATAACTACAGACATTGTCAATAATGAAGAAAAGGTACTATAAACATGATAATTCCCTTGTCAGAGATGCCCCAAGATGAAGGTGCTGAAGCTTGTATGGTCTGTTGAGTACTTACTACCAAGCCTATAACAGCAGACAGACAGTGAGGAATGTTATTGTCTCACACCCTGGTCAGCTATGCATGCACTGCAGATACTTAGCAGGAAGTCCATCTTGCCATAACACAACAGGACAACATAACAGTGGTCTCAGGTCAATCAATCTCAGCTATGTTCACATCGGCACCAAGAAATTTTGATTTTTTTGCGGTAGCATGGCTTACTACACAATTGTTAGTAGATTTCAGTGTTACATATGGACTATTAATAGAGGAGCCTACAAGAAGACAGAAGATTATAATCAGCATGGGATTTGGACCAGGGGCTTGAGTTTGGCTTTACGCTGCTTTTAGCAATATTCCAGCAACATCACAGCGGAGACACCAGAAATGGGCTTCACACATTGTACCCTTGTGGGGATTCGAACCCGGGTCTTCGGCGTGACGAGCCAACGCTTTAACCACTAGGCTACCCCACCGCCCCTTCTGACCATGAAGACTACAGATAAGACACTGGAGATGTTTAACATATTTTGCTGAATATTATCTCAAAATCGCAGGTTTTTGAATAATTTGTTTTTCCTTGCAGAACATCTATGATGTCCTTGAATATATAAGGCTACCAAATACTACCCCAATCAAGCATGTGTCCAGACACAATTCTGATTTTCTGTAACATAGAAAAATTGTCTAGAATTATTAGTCCCTAAACAAGCACACAGAACATTACAATATTACAATATTGCTAAATCTTTTGGAATCATTTTCATTGTTAGAATATGGCCTCTCATAGGTTAAGTTTACTAGACTCAAAACTGTTTTTAGAAGAATCTGGCTTCTGTGGATTTTGTTTTGTGTAGTGACTAAAGACACAGAATTGTATAATGTAATTTTTGAGTAAAATTGATATTTTATACTTATCCTGACTCATGCTCTTTTGCTTGTCTCCTTCCTCTTGCGAACATAGTGGAACACTTGTATCTCCCTAATTGAAGTTCCCTTCAATGTAAAATCACTAATTAGTACACCACGAGTTACCTCCCTTCCACAAGCGCGGGAACGAGGGCGCCACCTCTACCCATGTGCCTCACTCTCTCCTCATATACTGAGCCCAACATTTGAATTTACAGGGAAATCCAAAGTGTTATTTGGGGAGGATGGGAGGGCTGACCTCATGAGTCAGGATAAGTATAAAATATCAATTTTACTCAAAAAATTACATATTTTTCCTTATCCTGACTCATCTCTTTGCTTGTAGAATCAACAGGCGGAGGTGGGAATATATAATACTTTGGATTTTAATAATTAGTGATTTGAACTGTGATGATTGTAATAACCCTATGGGAACTTCATAAAGGCATTGAACTGATGAATTCCTGCTGCCAGCTTATCAGCTGCCATATAGAGGTTATTACAATGTACTTATTATGATAAGTATATATAATATTAATACAATGCTTAAGACTAATAGACTTAAGCTTGTTAATATGCTAGTATAAACTCCTTAGAGTTTGTTAGCTAAAATACTTTAAGATATAAACATAGCACTAAGCTTAAAATATGATTAATTTTAAGCTAATTATATAATAACAAACCTCTTTAGGGTTTGTTAGTTAAAATATTTATATGATATAGACAGTGCTGAGCTTAAGATATGAATAAGCAGCTATATATATAACAACAAACTTTGTAGAGTTTGTTAGCTAATACATTTTACAATATGAGTATAGTATTGTGCTTAAGATATAATTATCTTAAGCTACATATATAATAGCCAAACTTAGTAGAGTTTGTTAGCTAATATATTTTTACAATATGAGTATAATACTGTGCTTAAGATATAATTAACTTAAGCTACATATATAATAGCCAAACTTAGTATAGTTTGTTAGCTAATATATTTTTACAATATGAGTATAGTACTGTGCTTAAGATATAATTGCTTAAGCTACATATATAATAGCCAAACTTAGTAAAGTTTGTTAGCTAATATATTTTTACAATATGAGTATAGTACTGTGCTTAAGATATAATTAACTTAAGCTACATATACAATAGCCAAAAACTCTGTAGAGCTTATTAGCTAATAGATTTATAATGTAACCATAGTACTAAGCTTAAGATATGATTAGACTTAAGCTAAATGTATATAGCAAAAACTCCTTAGAGTTTATTAACTAATATACTTTTATGTTATAAACATAGTACTGAGCTTAAGATATGATTAAACTTAAGCTATATATATATAATAGTAAAACTCCGTAGAGTTTGATAGCTAATACATTTTATTATGTTGATTTAGACCTAGTATTGAGCTTAAGATATGAAGTAAACCTTAAGCTAAATATATAATAACAAAAACCTTTTAGAGTTTTAATAGCTAATATACTTATATGGTATCAACATAGTATTGAGCTTAAGATATGAAGAAACCTTAAGCTACATATGTATAGCAAAAACTCCGTAGAGTTTGTTAGCTAATACATGATATAATGTAACCATAAAGCTTAAAATATGATGAAAACTTAAGCCCAATATATAATAGCAAAAAACTCTTTTAGAGTTTTGATAGCTAATATACCTATATGCTATAAACATAGTACTGCGCTTAAGATATGAATAAGCTTAAGTTACATATATAATAGCAAAAAACTCCATAGAGTTTGTTAGCTAATACATGTTATAATGTAACCATATTGCTTAAGATATGATGAAACTTAAGCCAAATAGCAAAAGCTCTTTAGAATTTGTTAGCTAATATAGTTATATGATATAAACATAGTACTGAGCTTAAGATATGAATGAGCTTAAGCTACCTATATAATAGCAAAACTCCGTAGAGTTTGTTAGCTAATGTATTTTTACAATATGAGTATAGTACTATGCTTAAAATATACTTGACTTAAGCTACGTATATAATAGCCAAAAAAAAACTCTGTAGAGTTTGTTAGCTAATGCATTTATCATGTAACCACTGTGATGATGAAAAAAAGCGAGCTTAAGCAAATTATATATAGCATGAAGCTATTTAGTACTGTTATAAGATAAGTAAAATCTGTAAGATTGACTTATCTTCTCGAGGAACTGTCAACTGTTGTGCAAGGACCATGGGATCAAATTGGTGGATACCTGAGATGTCCTCGGTGGTGATATCTCTCAGATAATGGTTGGCAACCACCATATCGGATCTACAGTAATAAACCCTCCATTATTTCAAATAACATTTGTGTAGATGAAATTGTAGAAGTTAAGCTCTAATATCAAGAGTATTAAAGCTCATGGAGGGTCGGATTAGGTCCATCTGTCTTGTATATGCGTAGTATGACAGTTCTGATCAAAGCGGAGATATAGTGCATTGAGACTACACTCTGCGTAAGTTGATGATAGAAAAAAAAATCTGTTGTATTTTTTCTTCCTGTTTGGTTTGGTGGAGATAAATTTACAGTGCTCTTGCTGGCCAGCGTGATAGCATCATCGTATCATGGAGTCAAGTATGTCATCCAGGCATGTTCATAAACCTCACTTGTGAGGTGTTGTAACACTATATTCATATCCCCAAGTTGAGTGCGTGAAACTTCCGTTTATTCTCCAAACAGAAACTTAGTAGGTTTACTAACCATCTAGTTGTGTTAGTAGCTTGATGATGAAATTCAGGTGTAGTCTGAAGCTGTGGATTTCGATCCACTTGTATCCACGTCGTCTAGGTAAATCGTTGCGATGTCCTTGGCGATGTATGTGCACAACCGGGAGTTTGTGTCCTCGATGAACTTTATGTAAAATCGCCTGACTGCTGTGCCCTTGTCTAAACTTGACAGGGGAGGTCTCTAACCTGAAGAAAGCAGCCTAATCATGAAGGTTCAGGTTAACTGGGCTGTAAGGAGGCTTGCTCGTTCATTGATATAAAGTTGTCACTTGCAACCTATGTCTTGAACTGTGAACTATGCTCGACCTCTGTGTAGGGCGTTGTTCATCGGGGTCCAATCAGAATAAGGCATTTTGATTCTGTAGAGTACCCGAGCTGTGATGTCACCGGTGTAGCAGGAAAAGGAACCTTGTATAATATAGTGCCGTCGTTGATATTAGAACAATCATCGGTCTTCATCGTAACTTCGAAGTTACCCAGTGATACGTGTTTGAGGATTAATGGTAGCGAAAGCTTGGTATAAAATACCTCGCTCTGTAATATTAATGCTGGGTAGGTTATTTTCCTGGCTGTCGTGAAAGTACTTCAGTTTTGAATATAATTCCGACTTCTTTATATATAAAGGTACAATAACTTGTAAGTTGTCAGCTTGT